ACACACACACACACCTCAGTCTGAGTGGTTCACACCAACAAGAACGGCATGTACAAGGGAAAGTGTTCATTTTATGTTCTGTAACCGTTCCCTGTTTCTCTGAACGTTTGACCATGTACATCATCTTTGTGTTCACTGGTGCATTTTAAATGATCAAAGTTAAAACAAATATTCAATGTGGTTTCTGCACCACAAAATGATGATTGTTTTCAAACAGGTTTTCCATCAGTCACTGGTCAAGCAAACTGAACTCACAGTAATATGCTACTGAACTAGGGCTGGGCCGACGGCTGACAGACAGCACGGTGTTACGCTGACATCGTGACCCATTCCAATGCAAGAAAATATAGCTGGTTTTCCAGTACCAGTAAAGTAAAAACCGCCAAATAACGTTTACACGTAGTTTATGAGACGTAATCAGAGGGTGGGGAGATGGGGGGGATTCCCCCGCTCTATACGTCTCTGCATCTGCTAAATTATTTTTTATTCACAGTGAATAGAAGTTAAACCCGCACGGAACGCCACTGGAATAAATAGCCCACGTGATGGGAGGATAAAAAATAGTTCAGTACTTTTTCTCACAGTTATATCGCTGGGCAAGTATAGGCGACTGTATATAAACTGCGGGCATCGGGGAGCCGCTATTGAAACTGCTTTCGACTGCATGCTCTCATTTCACTTTCGCGATCACAAACAATGCTCCCTCTAATTCTTTTTCTTGCTGAGCAAAACGTTTCTCTATTGGGCCGACATTTCATCCACCCGAGCAAACACATTCTTTATACCAGAACTGTACAGCGCGCGCACAATTTCACACATTGAAAATTGAAATTACACGATAAAGACAAATTGAAGACCCGTGACTAAATGATGAACACTTTAGGTTACCTGAGAAAACTTTTTTTTACAGTATAATACACTGCCATTTAAATGTTTATAAAATAAGTTTCTTACGCTCATCAAGGCTGTATCTATTAGATGAAAATACTGAATATTATTTCACAAAATAATAGTGAAATATTATTGCAATTTAAAATAAAAGTTTTCTATTTTAATATACATTAAAATATAATTTATTGCCGTAAAGCAAAGCTATGGAGCGGCAGTACCTACCACACATTTGACAACATTAGATGTTTGTCATTGGTGCTCAGGATCTGCAAATCATTCGCCATCGTCCTGTCAGACATTTCTCCTTACTCTGTGTATGTGGCAAGTTAACTTTCATGTACTGTAATGTAACCTTTTAGTGGCTCTGTAGAACGCGTTACTTGTTTCACGCTTCGGGCACACCCCTAACCCCCGCCCCGCCCCGCCGATGTTCATCACGATGTTTCACTGCACACATCGCCCAAGCCTATAGTGAACACTGCATCTGTTCATAATCTGCATAGAGTGAATACAAATATTATCTCAATTGATTACAGAGCTTCCCACACATATAAGACTTACATTTTGCAACCATAAAATAACGTTCACAGAACGTTGCCGGGAGGTTATTTGTAAATAACCTAAACCGAACGTTCCTTGATGGTGATTTTTGTGCCGTGGGTAATAGGAGGATTTCCACCCGTCCAGCACCGCTAATAGCCTACATTTCAATCCTCACGGAATTAAAAGCTTCTAAATGTTTGCGCATTAGAAAGCTCTGAAGTGATCGTGTCAGCGAGCAGTAATGAAGAGCGTGGATGTGTACCGGTGGCAAACGTGTTGTGGACGCTGTGGAAGGAGATGGCGTTGACCGGAAAGACCTGCTCGATGCCGTTCTCCTTCAGTCTGTGGCACTTGAAGGCGTATTTCTTCTTCTGCACCTCCAGACTGGGGTCCAGATACTCCACAGCGACTCTGCCCTCGATGGAGCTCAACACGTAACCCTGAAAACACACGTCACACCAATCACACTCTTACAGGGTCTATACTGCTTTATTAGTAATAAAACAGATTCATTTCTGGATTATGACTGGCTGAAATCACTAAACTACAGATTCCTGGGGCTTCCGTGTCCTTGAATATTACTCATGTCAATTTCTGTCTGTGCAGAGAGTTAGAGAGGTGTTTCGCTGCACATCGCACTACGCATGGATGTGTGTGACAGTTAAACTTGGACTGAAATGGAAAGAACTACAGCTCTTGTGAAAAGTTTGGAAACATTATAACTTTTAAATGTTTTTAATGAAGTCTTTTCTGCTCACTATAACTCCATTCCAGCTGTTTTCTATGTGAATATCTGTTAACCTCTAATTTATTTCTGTGATCAAAGCTGAATTTTCAGCATCAGATTACTAGGTTATTTATTTGCACAAATCATCCAAGCACCCCAATCCCAGCCATTTCTAATATACTTTTGATTAATATGACTAAATATTAAATTGTAACGAAATTAAAGATCCATCTTTGATTGTCAAAAGAATTCCAGCTAATTAGATTTCACGTAGCATTTTAATCGGTCAGTCATGGAAGTCTGATTTGTTGATAACTTTTGACAACGGTTTAATCCAGGTGCGAAAATAATTCATTTCTAGCGCCAGAGCACGGAGAGATTCTCGCTCGCGCATCATAGCAATGTACTTTCGCGCTACAACAGTGCACTCTTGACATTTGACAGTAAAATAACGCCATACCTGACGGCTGACGCAGACCTTAAATTCGAATGCAACGTTTTTGCATACAAATGTGGATTTTTTTTTTTAATTCGACGAATATTGGAAAAAGATTTTGACAGCCCTATTCTGCGGTGAGTTTAGCTCCACCCTTTTGGTACCCTTTGCTGTGCTAGGTACCCCAACGGAAGGCTACCAAAAAAGTGGTACGGTACGGTACGATATTTTGGTACCACTCACAACTTCTGACAGTGGAAACGGAAATAACTGCGTACCGTACTGTACCGAACCGTACCGCTCAGTGGAAACGAGCCAAAAGACTGATCAGCAGCAACCTTTTTATTTTGGGCATGTCATTTGTGTCTCCATGCCGAAAATGGGGGGTGACAGCAAAGGGGTTAACAAACTCGTGGAAAGTCAGGGTTTCTGCAGACTTGAACAAGTTAAATTTAAGACTTTTTAAGACCTTTTTAATACCACTTTATATGAAATTTAAGACCTAAACCTGTAATGGAAATACACATTTTATTAAATACATATATGTAATATTTAATGTGTATAAATTAAAAAGAAAACAAAATATCAGTGCTGTAATAAATGGTATTTATTACTACGATATACAGTGAACTTTTCATATCAGCAGACAATATTCCTCACAAAATATCCCCGCAAAATAACTGCATCGCTGAGATTTCTGGTGGAGTAAACAATTTATTCTGAAGCAACATTTTCATCAGTGTTCTATCAGCTTTTACATACTTAAATCTGCATATTTACCTTTACAAAGGCCTATTTTTAACCTTTTTAGATTATTACAATTTATCAATAAATTCAATATACACTATAGGGCTGCTACCAGTCAGATTAAATAACTTACACTGCAAATAACAATAATTACAACTGCAATAAATAATGTTATGAGCTTAATGTTTTAAATGCATTTATGAATATACAAATAAGAAATGTTGAGGGGAAAAATGCATACTTTAACAAACTTCTCAACTGAACTACCAGTAAGTGACGGTAAGTAACTCGATGAGTGAGTATCGAGTCATTCATTCAGCTGATTGAGTGTGTTATCATGCTGCTATCTTCAGGACTTTCGTGGACAGCCGACTCCTAAAGTATTTGATATTCTTCTGTGTGGTGGTCAGATAAGTTTAAATAGATTTTTACCTTTTATGGGCATTTTACCTTTATAAAGCCTTTACCTTTATAATTTTTCTATAAGTGTGCATTATCTTTTGAGTCAAATTCTTACATTTAATCAGTGAATAAGAATAAGACATTTGGGCTGTTACCAAACAAATGAAATGAGTATCAACAAAATTCATCTTTGCAATCCAGATATAAGCTGCATCTGAAGTGGTATTTAGATGCGTTTACACGCTGTTTAATGCAGGACATGAATGCTTTAACCTGCAGTTACAAATGCATAAATAATGTTTTGATATATTAAACATAAAACATTGAATACTGATATTTGAAAAAATTAAAAGATACTTTAAATGTGAAATTAAAACCGCCAGTAGGTGGCAGTAAGTCACTGTTAAGCGAGTCATTGCGATTGAACCAAATCATTTAAACGCTTGATTCATTCGGGAATGAAACACCGTCATGTTGCTCAGAGACGCAAAACAGCGCTGTGGCTTTGTTTGGAGTTATTTTTGCTGGCGAAATAGTGCAAAAACAGGCAATATGGTGTCTAAAACTTAAGTCTCTTAATAAAACTTCTAGTTTATTGAACTGTTGTAAAAAAATTGATATCACATTTGTATATGGTAATTTTTGGAATAAAAAAGGCAGTCTTCCGTGTGAACTTGAGTATAAATATACACATTTTCTGCCCCCATGTCTTGAATTTGTGATCATTCTGAATGTATTTTAATAGACTGCATCATGCAGTGATCAGGCAGAGCGCACTGCAAATGTGCACGCGCACTAGACCTCACGTAATGCGTGCGCTCTGTAGGCGTTTTGAATGTTTGTTTTTTTTTGCGTCGTCAGAATATTGAGTAAAATAGCTCACTTGTCATAGGTGTTATTAACTATATCATGCTATGAATAAACTAAACATTTTGAATAGTGTGTTTTTTCTGAGTTTATGTGTGCTGTCACGCTCATTTGTTCTGAAGTCTCGAGACAAACAGAGTGAGCCTCAGCGCGAGCTTGTATTCTGTATTCTAACTTACTGCAATTCTCTCTGATGACGCAGCAACTTACCGCGGGTCGGTCTGTCCAATGATTGTAAAGTCATTAGCTCCATCAGACTAAAGATATTTTAGCGGTAATGAGACTAAAAATAATTAAGACCCATCGAATGCGAATTTAAGACATTTTAAGACTTTTTAAGGACCCGCGGACACCCTAAAATAGCTCACTTGTCATAGGTGTTATTAACTATATCATGCTATGAATAAACTAAACATTTTGAATAGTGTGTTTTTTCTGAGTTTATGTGTGCTGTCACGCTCATTTGTTCTGAAGTCTCGAGACAAACAGAGTGAGCCTCAGCGCGAGCTTGTATTCTGTATTCTAACTTACTGCAATTCTCTCTGATGACGCAGCAACTTACCGCGGGTCGGTCTGTCCAATGATTGTAAAGTCATTAGCTCCATCAGACTAAAGATATTTTAGCGGTAATGAGACTAAAAATAATTAAGACCCATCGAATGCGAATTTAAGACATTTTAAGACTTTTTAAGGACCCGCGGACACCCTGAAAGTGTATTTGTGTCTGACCTGTTTGTTGGGGAAAGCTCGTATGCAGCGCGTCTGGTATTTGAGGCTGGACTCTCGCCTCTGCTGCACGTATCCCATGTTCCTCAGATCCCAGACGAGCACACGCCGCCCCGCCGTGCCCACGATCACCCGGTCTCCGGCCACAGACAGCGTGTAGACCTGAAACACAGCCACAGACAGAGTGTAGACCTGAAACACAGCCACAGACAGCTGAAACACAGCCACAGACAGAGTGTAGACAGCCACAGACAGAGTGTAGACCTGAAACACAGCCACAGACAGCTGAAACAGCCACAGACAGCTGAAACAGCCACAGACAGCGTGTAGTCCTGAAACACAGCCACAGACAGCTGAAACACAGACACAGACAGCTGAAACACAGACACAGACAGCTGAAACACAGACAGCGTGTAGACCTGAAACACAGACACAGATCAGAGCCGCTCCTGCGCCAGAGCCGCTGCGCCCCTCACGTCTGCTCACCTTCTCGGGCTGCGTGAAGGTCCCGGCGTTGCAGGGTGTTCTGGGGTCCCAGAGCCTCACAGACATGTCCCAGCTGCCCGTCACCATCACATTGACCTCCGGACAGTATTCCACACAGCGGATGGGAGCGTCGTGCGTCCCCACGATTGTGTCTGACGAAGAGCACAGATACAGTCATACACCAGCGTGTCGTGTTTAAAGGGATGCAAAATTCCCTTTTACATGTTGTTTGAACTGAAATGTGTGTTGAAAGGAATAAATTTAGCAATTAAACATTAATGACATTTTTGAAAATATAGCAAAAAAGGCTAATTTAAATGAAACTACCACATACAAAACACAAAAATAGAGCTAAACAAAAACCTTCTGAAAAGTGGTTTGACCATGACTGTAAAACAATAAGACAAGAGCTACGATTCATTTCCAATCAAAAACACAAAGATCCAGTCAACTCAGAATTACTCTCAAAGCACTCAGAACTTCTGAAACATTACAAAAACACACTGAGACAGAAGAAATGTGATTATTATAACACCACACTTCAGAAGATGGAAAACACAATTGATCAGGGTCAGTTCTGGAGCATGTGGAACAGTCTAAACAACACAAAGCCACAAGAACTAGCTATACAAGATGGTCACATTTGGAAAGATTATTTTGAGAAGCTCTATACACATCAAGCTGACCCTCTGAAAAATCCCAACCAATTAACAGTTCTTGAAAAATTGAATGCCCTTGAATCATGTATCAAAAACAACCAAAATCCACTAGATTATCCAATAACCCAACAAGAACTTGGTGGAAAACTGAAATCCCTCAAATGTAAGAAATCCTGTGGCCCTGACAACATAAAAAATGAGATGCTTAAAAACAGCTCTCCTGAATTTCAGATAGCATTACTCAAACTTTTTAACTTGATTTTGAGTTCAGGCATTTTTCCAGAGGTCTGGAACACAGGACTCATCTCTCCTGTCTTTAAAAGTGGAGACAAAACAGATCCTAATAACTACAGAGGGATCTGTGTCACCAGTAATTTGGGAAAAGTATTATGCTCAATAAATAACTCTCGGATTTCATCTTTCTTAGAGCAGCACAACGTCATCAGCAAATCTGCGGCTCGTTAACTCAGTATTCTGCCCGCTTCAGATCAGACAGATTAAATAGTGTGGTAAGATCACATTTATCTGAATAATTCATTATAACATTTAGCTACTTGAATGAATTATTCGATCGAAAGAGAGGGAGAGCAAGGAGTGTGTGTGTGTGTGAGAGTGTGAGAGTGAGTGTGTGAGTGAGTGTGTGAGTGTGTGTGTGAGAGAGTGAGTGTGTGAGTGTGTGTGTGAGAGAGTGAGTGAGTGAGTGTGTGA